GTGAGAAATATGATTGATCCAGATGTGAAATATCTGAGGAGTAGAGGGTACTCGAAGAGCAGAGGATGAAGTGGTTTACCCGATTCCTCAACCCAATAACTGCAGAGGGAAGGATGTCACACGCGTGGAAATGCAACAGTTTTAGATGAGAAAAGCCTCATCAATTTGAGATGAAAAGCGAAGACAAGGTTGAAAGAAACTGGCAGTCAAGAGCACGGCGGAAATTACTTCGGGCAAAAATTGTGGGAAGGCCGCTACAAGCCAATATGACCCCCCACAAGGGCCCTACAACATGCATGCGCGTGCTTTCACACACTTTTGTAAGCCCACCATTAAATGGAGGTTCCTTAATGGTTTTTCCATCAGAGCAAATTTTTTCCAGTGAGTGCGATTGGGAGACACCCATTGGAACTGATAATCAGTGTACTCTACTGCTGCACTATTTGTTTGGTTTCAAATGATATAAACGATATAAGGGAAAGTTCGACATATCAGCAAAGGTTTGAAAAGTGATGCATTCTCCTTCCGTCAGAAATCGAGCCGTGGATAGGGTTGGATGGCGGAAAAGACGCCTCGCGAATCGCGAAGATCGCTCCCTAGAATCCCTGGGTGCGCCGGTGCCTGCGAAGTCCTGCAGACATGACCCACTACGATCTATCCGTGATCGTGCGGCAACGCACGCGCCGTTCGCAACGGCACCATCACGGCCAGTCCCGGTGTTCCCCGTCTGTCGTCAGGTTCTGCCCCATCGTCGTCGGTTCTGCAGGCTCGCAGGGCGTTAGCCCTTAGAACTGTTATTCTGGATGCTACTCCTTAGTTCAACTATTCGTGGTCGATCGGCGGCGTCGAGGGAAGCGACCGTGAGTCGTATAACTTTAGGTCGACTATTGGAAACATTAACCCATTGCGGACCGCTGTTATAATTGCACCTCCGTAGGATTTTGTCATCTCTTTAATCATTAGCCGATGACCTATCAAAAATTTAACCAGTATGCCAATAAGTGATATATACTGTGTCCAAAAAAGTAAACTGATGAGTTTGTAACAAAAAAATGCTGAAAAAAAAATCGAAGATTACTGTCCTTCTCCGCGTGGTGGCGTGCTGCACCATGTGCAGCACGCGGTCCGCAATGGGTTAAGGCGGAATTTACCTTCCGTCCATTAGATAATACATTAAAACCTCCAAAGGCAAAGGTCCACACTATTATGAAAAGTATATAACTATTTGTGTTAGCGTTTATTATCATAAGGTTAAAACCCACACAGTTATACTACTTTGGCATTAGGTGATATTAATGCGGTTCTAAGTTGCCAAGGTCAGTTAGGACTGGCCGCTTAAGTAGTTAGTTCACTGGTAATAAGTAAGGCCACCTGCGGGCTTGCCAATAGTTGAAGCTGTTTGCATCCATTGCCCTTCGTAATTCAATCCGGTTTCGCTCAAAGTGGTCACGTACTAGCCCTGTCCTGCACCCACCGACTCGCAACATGGTGCATCGGCCAATTTGAAGACAAGGGTAGGGACGCCGCTTCAACTTTGTCTCGTGAAGACTTTCAATGAATGAGAGCGATCAAAATCTTCTCGACAAACCTAAAAGTTGTACTTCAATATGACGAGGCCGCTCCACAAACTTCTCCACGAATAACGATCCATCTCCGAAAGCGGCTTGCGCCTCGGAGAAAGCGCGTCGGAACGACTCTTCAACCTAAAAAGAACTGTACAATATGCGAAGTTGCCATCATAAGTTAGTCGAACTACTTCTTCGTGGGATTTTTTCGAATAACAACGGTAACTTATTAATAGATTGATAAGGAAAAATTTGGCATTACTTATGCTGAGCTTATAAACTTAATTCTTCAACGTGGTCAACTCTGCGCATGCCGCGCCCTCCACCACCGTAAGCAGCCTTCAAGATAATGGGAGTTCCATACTGCTTGGCGAACTCGACAGCTTCTTCCGCCGTAGTAATTGGTCTGGGTCGGCAGAACTACTGCAACTACAGCTTCATAAGATCCGCTTGTAAACGTGCTGCCAACCTAAACATGAATGAATTACTTGTCTAACGATCACTCGAATAAAGAACCGATGCTCACGACATTGAAATTACAGGAGCTTAGCCGGCTATTTTCTGAATAGATTGTTGAAAGATACCTTGTCTCCCATGCGTGCCATAACATCCGGACTTGGGCCAATGAATGAAATCCCCGCATGGATACAAGCACGTGCGAAGTCGGCTCGCTCGGATAAGAAACCGTAACCAGGATGAATCGCATCCACGTTGTGCTAGAAAAAACTATTTGTGCTTTTCTAGCTGAGTTTTTTTTTCGTGAATCCGAGAAAAAGAAGGACCTGTAGAGCGGTGTCAATAATCTGATCTATAGTGAGATATGCCGCAACAGGCGGAAGTCCTTTACCGACTAAGTAACCTTCGTCTGCCTTCAATCGATGCATCGAATGCTTATCCTTAAAAAATAATTATACAGATTAAGTCTCGTGTCTAGGAAACGGCGACATAAGTATTCTGGAGCCTTTTCCAATAGGGGGAAGGGGAGAGGTGAGGAACAGTGGTGCGACACTTCACGCTGCCTACAGAAGTTACAAAATTTTGCAGGGTGAAGAAGCTCCTAGAACGGGTGTAAAAAACAGAAGCAAAATAGTCCCTGTAGGTTTTCTCCCATGGACAAAATTGGAATTACTACAGGCGGCACGACCTGTCACATAACATGTGCCACCCTTACAAGGGAGGTCGTTCAGGGTGTGCCAAGCTTTTTCAAAATGGTTTCTTGCATGACATTGGGGCACATGGGGACCACAGAACCATGGTTCATTTTTCCTGAACGGCCCTCTGAATACCAGAAAAGGGGTCCCTAGTTCGATTCCTCGTGGTGACAAATTTTTGCATTTCGAGTTGACGTTTCAAAATTCGCGCAAAATGGAGTTAGCATGAATAATTAGTACCAATTCATGATTAGGACCGTCAGTAACCCTTACAAATAGACTTTGATTGAAAAACTGGTGAAAAAGGTGTGACTAGGGACCCCCTTTTCTGGTATTCAGAGGGCCGTTCAGGAAAAATTAACCATGGTTCTGTGGTTCCCGCATGTGCCCCTATATCATGCAAAAGACCGTTTTGAAAAAGCTTGGCACACCCTGAAAGACCTTCCTTGTTAGTGGAAGTCCCAATTTTTGCAAAATAAAATGTCAAGAAGTGCCCAAAATCCTACCTGTTCACTATAAATTGCTACAGACGTCATTCGTAATTCAGAAAGAGCTCGAAATACACGGATAGCTATCTCTCCTCGATTCGCCACCATCACCTGAAAAACCGTATAATCAACCAGTTAAGTCAACACTGGTTATAATCGGAAAAAATAGATTTTCTATGCTATAATGGTTTTCACAAAATTATAAAATCAGTTAGTCACAGTATCCACGTCTAAAAGGTCCGTCGTTATTGAAACCCTAAGGAGGTTACCGTTCATCTACCCGAATTCGGAATAGCGTTCATGCAGCAGATTCTGCACCTCCCTGGCTTACAGTAAAAGGCCACCTTGCGGAGTCCCGCACAATTGTGCGTGCTGCAGGCGCTGCATCATTTTGGACGACACCTCTTTCACTCTTTCCCGTCCTCATACAGACTCGTACTATTTCGTCGCGTGTGCGTCTGAAGCATTCCCGAATTAAGGCCCTGATCCAACGATCTTCTGAGGTCAGTCGGGAAGCATACTGAGTAGAGAAAGCCTAAGCTTAGTTTCTATTTGGCTGCCTCTGATCGATAAATTCCTGCCTTTGTGCTTGACGTGAGATCAACAAATCAACAGTTCACCTTTCATACGGTTATTTTTTGGCCCAGTTTTGAAGAACTCCCACCACATAGATCAATCACAATTTTACCATAGGAAAATGCAGAGACAAAGAGATCAAAGGGTATCCAGCAACGTTTCATTACAGTAATTTCCCACTTAGCAGTCGAACAAGATTGAATAATTAAACGCGTTTGACTGAGCCCACAGCCAATAGCATCCCACATCACTTCTGCTACTACTTCACCTCGAGA